AAAATGAATTAAGTCGAGAATTGGCAGATACCAATGTGACCAGGTGATCAAGATTACCTTAGCAGAACACAGCATCATTTCTGTGTTGTTCCTTGTTTTGTTTTTGATTGACTGCTTTTTTCGGAGACAGGGTCTTGCTATGCTGTTCAAGCTGGTCTTGAACTTGCAGCGATCCTCCTGCCTCAACCTTCTAGGGCTGGGATTAAAGGCATGCACCGCCAAGCCCGGCTCTGTGGTATTACTGTCAAGAATGCACAACCTCAATCAAGTGGCTTGAAAACCCCAAGACTCAAACTGGAAGTCAAGCTATAAAACGTAAATTTGTATTCTTTTTTAAAAAGGGGGGAGGGGAGAATTTTTTTTTTGAGACAAGGTGTTGCTATGTAGCCCAGGTCAGCCCTGAACTCGGGGCCATACTGCCTCAGCCTTCTGAGTGCTGGGATTACAGGAATCCACCATCGTGCCCAGCTAAAACTTCTAAAGACATCGAAGACAGGGAAATAATTTTAGAACTGTTTTCTATGTAAGTCTGAAGAGACAGGACAACATGTCTATCCGTAGCTAGATTACCAGCAATTTGGGAACAGGGTCTCTGCCTTAACTGTCTCCACACCCCCCACCTTTAGCACAGAACTTCCACTACAGGCACAGTAACCACTGCCCAAGTTCAACAGGTCCCTCCAGCGCCATCTAAACATTTGGTCATTTCACGAGCGGGCGGTGAATCGCTCTCCTAAATCTGGAGCGCTCAGCGCAGGAGATGCCCAGTAAATTAACAGACTCTGGCTGGGTGTGGTGGCGCACGACTGTAATGCCAGCGCTCCGGAGGCTGAGGCAGGAGGATCACCAGTTTGAGGTCAGCCTGGGCTCCATATTACATAGAGTTCAAGAGCGGCCTAACTACGGTACATACTGAAACCCAGCCTCAAAAAAAAAAAAAAAAAAAAAAAAAAAAAAAAAAAAACAACAAACACGAAAAAAGCAAACCCTGAAAGCCCAGGGTTGCCCTGACAACAGAAGGAGGGGCACCTAACTCCGGTGGGATGGTAAGTCCCTCGGACACTCTGGAAAGGGCAGAAGCGCAAGGACAGAGACTCGCACACACAGAAGTCAAGAAATAAACGCGGCTCTCGGAACGCACGGTCCCCGGCGCAGAGCGAGCGCGGGCGGGGGAAGCGCAGGTCCCCTCGCCCGGCGCCACCACTCACCTCCCCCCGCTGCAACCAGTCCCGGTGGTAGCAGAGGCGACCTTTGCTGGAACTGCGCAGCGCCTGCAGGGTCTCCCAGCAACGACCCTCAGACGGCATGACCACCGCGACCACACCTCCTCAGAGGCGCTACTGGCGACAATGTAATCTCCCAAATCCGCCGCCCGGAAGGAGCATCAGCTTCCGTTTCCGGGGCGCGCGCGCAGTGTAGCCCCGCCCCTAGCAATGGCAAAGCCCCGCCTCTGACGACACGCCTACCCCCAGCGCGCATGCGCAAAATGAGGTCGTTGTGGCTGCATTCAATATGAGTGCAGCAAATCGAGTGCCTGCTAACAAGGATGCGGAGAAACTAGGACACTCACTGGCAGCCTGCTCGGGGGAATGTGAGATGAGGCAGATGTTGTGGAAGACAGTTTGGCAGTTCCTCAAAAGGCTAAAGAAAGTTTCCGTTTTTTCTGAGGTATACCAGAGAAACGAAACATGCCCACCGCCAAAACCCGAACACGAATGCTGGAAGCAGCCTTAGTCTTAATATGCAAGCAACTCTGCCTGTCAAGCGTAAGGTCGTGAGTTCGATTCCCAGTACCGAAAAAAAACAAAACAAAACAAACAAACAAACAAAAAACCCGCAAGCAACCAGATGGTTCAGGCCGACCTTGGAGATTCGTCTCAAAAATGAAACAAACGAGAAACCCACCGGGTTGGGGTTGTAAATCAATGTTAATGCGCGTCGGGTTCAAGTCTCAGTACCACAAAGAAAAGAAAAACGTAAGTAGTGGTACACGCTGCAACAGAAACTTGGACAATGTTTTACTCAGTGAAAAAAGCCAGTCACCGGAGATGACATGGTGTATGAGTGCATTCATGTGAAATGTCCGTAACAGGAAAATCCACCAACAACGAAAAATCCGGGTGTGCTGGCATAGGTATGGCATCCTAGCACTGGGGAGGCTGAGGCGGGAGGATTATCCTGTAGCCTGGGCAACATAGTGAGTTCAAGGCCAGCCTAGAGACCGTCTCAAAAAGAAAAAACATAATAGACAAATCGCAGACAGACTTTGTTGTGCTTGCCAGGGACGGGGATGGGGAGACAGAATGGGGAGTGACCGCTAATTCCTATTGGAGTTTTTTGAGTGAAAATGGGCTACAGGGCGCTGGGGATTTAGCTCAGCGGCACAGCGTCTGCCCAGCAAGC